AACTAGGGCCAGCTAAATTTGGGGTATCAGTTTAGGCTCTCAGGAGCACCAGTAAARCTTTCCCCAAGCAGTTCTGGCAGCCCTAAGAGCCTGAGCTCACACAGGGGCAGGTTCTTACTGCAGACACGCTCCCAGTCTGGCATTGGAGGTGCATGAGGCAGCAGCACCAGTGAGTGTCTCCACAGAGCCCCGGCCCTTTTTGGTGCAGCTCACGCTCCCAGGGCAGAGGAGGGTGACTGCCYGACCCCAGACCTTGCCAAGGGGCAGGKSAGCCCCAGCAGCTGCCTCAGGGAGCTGTAACTGAGTTTCCYGGGGAGACCAASGCACTGACACATCATGTCACTGTTRASGASTTCACTGCCATCCCTGCAGGAGCTGCCAGCATGGGAATGGGTTAACAGAGCCACCTTAACACCTAGCTTGAGCTGAGACACACACCACACGGGAATCCTCCTTCAGTGTAAGAACCTGTTTCTTCTCTTTAAGAAGAAATGAGTGASATTAGGAAACCCTTCCCAAACCTGCTGGGCCCTTTATAGAGCTTCATACATTTACAGTCCCACCATGTGAGAAACAGCTTACTACAAAACCGGAGCTGAAGCCATACAATCCTACAGCTTCAGCACAGGACAAATACAACCAGCAGCTTAAATGTTCCMCTGCTACATTTAAGTAGCAGTAGCTGGGTTTTGGCACTGCTTCAGAGAGTTTATGCCTGCATGATCACAGTGGATATTTTACTCTTTAATGTTAACAGTGTTATTATAGTATACATTTTTCTGAAATTAAAAAACAAACCATGGACTTTTCTAAAAGTTCACTCTGTGCCTTCCCTTGTTCCTCTACTATCCATGATCATTTTGCCACTGACGACAAAAAAAGGAGGACCAGAGCCTTTAATTCCCTACTTTTAAGTGCTAATATATTTACAGAAGACTATACAAACAAGAGCCAAACAGCAGTTACACATTATTAGAGCTACACAATATTTGTACATGTTGCTAAAACAATACTGCTAAATGAGGAAGCTTTATTAGTTCAGASTTTTTGGCTGCTGTTATTAAAAATATATTTACCTGAAAGGAAATCCAARTATTTCATTTTACAAACGATTTAAAATATAGCAGTAAGCAACATAAACTATTGCTTTTTATGTTTATACAATTTCTTTTGGCATAACACTGCCATACAGTTGCAGAATTATAAAATTTCTCTTTATAGTGCATTACAAATCCAGAAACTGGTTACCACTCCTACCACATACATATGGTATTGGTACTACCAAACATGCACGGCATTCTGTAATTAAACACTGCAAAGAAATACAGAGAAGAGAGCAGGACCATTCATAAAAACTGACATAGAGGTGTTACATTTTGCAAGTAAAAATTGTTGGTCTTTGAGTTTTTTCTTTTAACTGCACTTTTTTCTTAGAATACATTTGAACAATGAAGTCAATGATMTTTTCAAATTTTATCAGTGCAAAACTACACTTAATCATCTGCTGCAGAAATCAAACTGCATAAAGGGCAAACAACCATGGAATACGTTAAAACACAGAAAAAAAAAAGAGCAACTAATGATTTGCAAACATGCTTCAGCAGATCTCAAAAATATAAGTGCCATAACCCTTTTTACTGCAAAACAATAATTTTCACATGGTTARCCACAGTAGTAAGTACATTCAGTATATTTCACAATAAACTTTAGTTGATGAATACGCCACTGAACTTGTAAGCGTGGTAGAATTAAAGAGCCACGTTTCTAAGAAGAGACTTCTTTCAGAGAAATTTGCCAATTCTCACATTTTTTTCTTATAGCAAACAGCATAATGCTTTTGAAAATAAATATAGAGGTGATTACAAGTGTAAAGCCAGATGAGGTCTCTATTGAATTGATCTCTATAGCTTTTGAACTACATTTTAGGAGTCCATTATGTATGGCATGTAATGAAACTATTATTCTTTAAAGTAAATTCTTGCTTTCACCCAAAATTCTTAAGAAAGTGTATTTAAGAACAAGAGCTGTACACAACTTTCAGGAAAAGAAACAGTTCATAGGCAATACTGAGCACAAAGATATTACAGAGACACAACTTACACTCCCCTTGGAGAACTGCATCTAAGTATCTGTTAGCAGTGAGCCTGTGGTATTTTCCATAATGTGAATTGAGGGGGCTGTAAATGCTTAGGCCTTTTTTGACCCATCCCTCATTTTTCAGACTCTGATGGCCACCAAAAAATAGCTTTTTAGCAGTTACTCCAATTACAGTTGCAACTGTGAACATGTATCAAAACAAATTACCAAAATGTGGAATGATAACCATGGCTCTCAGCAAACACCAGAGAGAATTTCCATCTTGYACATGATCACAATGTTACATTCACTGACTCATTGATGCTGGTTTCTCCAGACAGAGGTACCTCACTCATATGTGATCTAGGAATAGGTTTTCCATGTGACTGATTTTAGTTTTACACCAGCAAGAAAAAATACAACGCTGTTTTTTAGTTGGTATCTGACCTTTTTAACACTTAATCTACATTTTAAACACTAGTCTACAAAAGGATTTATGCATAAAAACATATTCAGGAGGAACAAGTAAGGTAGAATTGATATAAACTTAGGACAAGTTTCTGCCGAAGCAGTCGCTTTCTGCCTAAAAACAGAAGAAACATGGGACATTTTCTACTTAAACAGGTATTTTGTCATTAGAATCTCCCATGGCATTTAAAAACTGAATTGGAGTAGATTACTCTTCATCCTACAGTACTTTTACTGTTCTGTTTAAATGCAGTAGCATTCTTGAATAAACAGCTCTGAGACAAATAAGAGATCGCTTTCTCCAAACAAAATATTATTAAAACATGGAACTCACAGCCACAAGGAATTGTGGTGGCCACTGCTGGAGGCAGGACAAAAGGCTAGAAAAACCTTTGGTTCTGATGCAAACTGGCAGTTCTAAGGACAATGTACATCATCAGCATGATATTGTTACACTTTTATTAATGGCAAAAYTTACTTCACATACTTGCATCTTATTCATAAATACAGCTTTTGCCAAGGAAATGCAATAAGATATGTTCCCTGCAAAAGTGTGGTGTAAAAAAATGTCACTTAAACATATATAACTTACTATAAATTGTGATCAGTACCATCACAACTGCAAGAAAAAAGGTGTAAAAAACTGCCTCAATTAAACAGATGTACATAAATTTTATTTAAAAACAAAAAAGAACTGTTTTCCATTTAAATCCAGTAAATGTCACTTGTCTTACCTCACTGGATCATCCATCAACATTATACAAAGCTCCTAAGGTCTGTAAACCTTCGGGTTATAGCACAGACATATGCAAGTGCAGATTATTAGAATTATTCTGGAGTAGTTCAGGGAGGCTTACATGAAGGTTACTTAGGTTACATGAAATATTAACGCTGATTATACAAATACCGAATACATTAGAGGGCTGCAATCTCAGAGCAGGAAACTGAGGAGCTGACCCAAGCCAGGGAACAGCTCTCAGAGGATTATTGCACGTATTTTTAGCATCCTTCAGGATTGTATTCGAGCAAAATGAACATGAAGAACTCAGACCTRCTCCTAGGTACGTGCACACATGTAACTGCTCTCCTCTGAATGGTCTGTGCTGCACACCTCATGTACCCAAGCTTTCAGTCACCAACACAAGTATCAGGTACAGAGGCACAGTGTGTCTGGCACAGTAGGGCACAAAGCTGTAACTAATCTTAAAGTGCTGCATTTTTGCATGATTTGTATGATCGCCTTCACTTGCATCTGTATACTCAGTAACATTTTTTGCAAGTTGTACATCATATCCCCTCACCGTAAGATATTTAAAATCAAATTCACAGGTATGTGCATGTATACACTATTCCCAGTTAACAGTACCAGAGGCTACTGAGATGGAATTATTTGGAAAGAACCTTCATATGGGACCTTCTGTTCAATATATGAACATCTCAGATTCTAGTCAAACACTGGGCCAAAATGCACTGTCATAGCCASTACACAGAAATCCCTGAATACTTAAGCATATAGCAAGAAAAAAAAAAAAATTAGGAGTGACCAAATGACCTGACTTCCTTTGCATACCCTCAGTTCCTGAAGAAACCGCTAAACAACTATGTACTGGCATTTATGAAAATACAATAATTTCAACATACAAATGCTGTACATATATACTGTAAATCTGAAAACCAATACTTAGAAACTTCAAGGGGTGCTTCTGGTTGCTAAAGTCATGATTCTGTAATAAAAATGCATACAGTGCACCCACTTGATCCTTACAAACCTCAATGGGATGCTATGCTGTATGATTGTCCTGGAATAAATCCTTCTTTCCAGTACTTGCAAACTYAGAAGAAACAATTCCTCTATGAAAAGAATCATAAAATGTCACATTTTGAATAGAACAGAATTTCTTAAAGCTTAAGAATCCCAAGGAAGTAATTCTGTTGATAAAGCTGTAAAACAAGGATTACAGAGTGCAGGAGCCCACCTGACACACAAAGCCTCGCTTACATAGACCCCATAGTTCTTTGTAGGCAACATATATGCCCCTAYTCTTCCRGGAAAACKKAGAGAAATATACTGAGTTSCAGATAAAAAAAAAWTTAARTTGCAGAGTTAATACAGATATAAGTACCAAAGTTCTTRACAGTATTTTCAGATACCCTGGCCCCTTAGTGCAGACAGCTCTGCCAGATTAAAAGTATATTAATTATGAATGTTGAACCAGTAAGCATAAATAGGTGAGAGTTAYGTCATGATAACAGAATAGTGTACTGCAGAGAAATCTTCTGGATGAAACATCCCAAGAACTTTGCTTAAAATCAGAGCAAACTTTTTTTTTTGTTCAGTAGACAAAAGACCTCCTAAGGTCACTGATGTTCAATCAAATTACAGTATAAATACAGTAACACCTCCAGCATCCCTTATTTCACTTCAATACTCTGCATTTTGTGTGATGTGTTTAACACTAAAATCCATAAATTGAAGGCTTTGTAATAGYTACTTATGCTATAGTTATGCTCCTTATACACCAGCCATCCATTTTCCCTATGCCACTCAAGAAATAACCATGTAAAAACAACACTATGAAGGTTGCATGGTTAGGCACTCAAGATTGAAAAAGTCACAGACAGAAAATGAAGTATCCCCCACTTTGCACACATGGAGGGGCAGAGTCCTTAACTACACAGACCAGTTTTATCACAGCATTTCCTCAGCCTTCTGTTCTGAAGGTCAGAGGCAAACACAAACAAGGGGATCCCAGTTCAAGTTCAGGGAACTGTGAAAGGCTTTTGAGGATCTTTTTGGCCTTAAAAACGCTGTGGCAGCAGGAGGAATGCTTTGGGGCATTAGACAGACTTAATGCCTACTTGAATGATCTGGGTTACCCTAAACAAAAAATCCATGTGCGTAAGTTCCTTTCCTCACAAGTCAGCACAGAAGGGGAAATACATCTTCCTTCTTCCCTTCATCTTTAGGAAGGAAAGAGCCTGATCTTTGTCTATGGGTACCAAGATCCCTAAATACCACTCTATTCGATCCCGAGAACCAGCGCTACCTGGGAAAAACAACGGATGATGCATTGCCATGACAGGCATTAGCAAAACAGAATATAAGACATTTTGTCCATGCTCTGAAACCCCTGAAAACCTCATCACTTTGAGTTACAAGACTTGAATAAAGTCCTGTAGCATTCTGACACTCAGACTCCAGCCAGCCCCTTGCCTCATAACATTTAATTAGAAATACATTAAAGGCAGGGATAATATACTTTTAAATAAAAAACACATAYAGAAGTTTTAGAGTATTTTAAGACYGYAGGAAGTGTGACTTGTAYCTGCATTATTTTTTAATACATATTTTGCATAACTAAATTGCTGGGTACTATTTTGTTTGATTTGAATAGCAGGAAATCAGAAGAAGCTACTCAGGGAAAGCAGACATTTCTTCAGCAGAAGCTGTGAAAGATCTTAAAAGGGAAATTCCTACTTGTTGGGCTCCAGCCAGGCCAACAGACTGGCCTGCCTCAAGTCTCTGCTGATTATCAAAGTAACATAAAACTGTGAGAGACTTATGATAGAGAGCAAAGAGAGGAAACAGACAGCTGGAAAGACACATCAGGACTGCCTCTGTCTCTGAGACCAGCAGCAGTGGTCTTGTATTGTGCAGACCCTACCCAAAACTGGCCAAGAAACATCAGAGTTCTAGTATGACCCAACTTAGCAYGCCTGGTGACCTTTTCTCTGTTGGCTTTGCTGATTAGGCACTGCTTTTCAGCTGCCCAGAAGCATTCCAGGTACTGAAGCAACTGGGGGATTTGCCTTATCACAGCTCAGCAACAGGGAGCTTTCAAACTGAGACCAAAATYGGCTGATAGAAGAGACCCCTCCCCCCAGATTAACTGCCACAAATGAGTCAAGAGAAGGGAGAATTTAACAGGGACTAAAAGAAGTCTAAAGTGCAACTTCCCTTGTATCCAAAAGCTGTGGATACAGTTCCATTGTAAGTTTAAACTTTTATTCAATGTACAGTGATTTCCAGCTGCACAGGACATGATATACGATATCCGTTGTTAAGTGCCTCCAACAAAGATGCTAATCTAAGGTAAAAGATACTGTGCAAACACTGCTGTTAAACATGAACATAGTTCCTAAAAAAATAACCACTAGGGTAAAAACTGTGTTCTTGAAATAATTTATAGTAATTTTATAAATGGAAAATGGAACTTAAAGCAAGCTTAAAAGAAAGTGAAAAGAAACTTAAAAATTCTTATGTTCCAAGGCTTTTTGGTGTTACACTGTTTTTTTTTTTTTAAGTACTGGCTGAATTTTTAAAAGTAGATAAGCTTTTCTGTGCAATCTGGCTGGAAAAGATAATCAACTTCTTAGCTTTCAATATGCACAATTGTTTCAAAGAGACACACCTGGCTGACTGTTGATAAACTAAGTTTGAAAAAAACAAAATTCATTAACCCAGCAGAAGCCTAATCTGATGCATTTGCAACAAGCATAGTCTCGTGAACTTGCACTAGATGGAAATTTCAACCAATATGAAGGAGCAATGAACAGTTTGCTTCATTCAATGTGAAACAAAGATTTTTTAAATCTCAGACTCATGGTTTGAGCTCATCCTTCGTTTTTGTGGTGGTGCCCCCTGAAAGTGTATCCTTATCAAGGTTATCTTGTAGATCTGCTGATATGTCATCTGAAGAATTCTCAGTGTTACATAAATCTTTCTCTGTAATGCCTGGGTGATTTCCACAGTCATTGTTCGGATTTTCATCATCTTTTTTGGAATGAGAAGCGTCCTCCTTTCTGTCTGAAGTATCATGAATTTCTTCTGATTTTGAAAGCTGGCCGGTATCAGTTTCACTGTTCTTTTCACTGTTGTTCTGCCTAACAGCATCACAGTTCACTTCTTGTTCATCCTGATCATTTTCTTCCCCATTTTTTGTGAATTCTACCTTTCTTTCTTCAGTTGTTTTACCAGCTGAGCTTCCACTAGCCGATGTATTCTTAGGCTCTTTTGGTTTCTTATGCTTAGAAATATGACTATTGGGAATAGAAACTGGAGATGCTGGCTTTTTATTTGCTTTGCCTCCCTCTGTCTTCAGTTTTCTTGGGGGTCCCCAGATAAAATGCTCTGAAGGTGTATAATGTTGCTGGGCAAATCTCAGCAGTTTCCTCCTTTCTCTTCGGTCTCTAATAGTATAGACAAAATATTCTAGAGCACTTTGCTTAATGTTGGGAATGGTATCTTCCACAAGAGCTTCATGCAGAATAAATTTTACCAGGGGAGATTTGAAACTCTCATATCCAAGCTCACCAAGACTTTTCAGAATTCGAGTGATTCTCAAGTAGTTATGTTGAGACCTTYGAAAGAAATGGGTAAAAAAATTCTATTGAATCAGAAAAAAAAAACAAAAACCATTTTACAAACACAGAACTGGAACCACAATTTCTCAGTCCTTTTTATCACTTCAGGYATGCACTTCAGGCTTTGTGTACTCTAATTTCTCACAGCTGCTGAAGCTTACTTGCATCTCCTTAGCTAGGATGTTGTGAGTGAAAATAAGTGTTTGTAGAAAGMACTGAGGGAGGGGGCTGAGAGAACATAAAATCAAACATATACTGATTTTGATTCCTTCCACTGTATTCTGTATGAGAAGAGCAACAAAGCTGGTAAAGGGTCTGGAACCCTAGGTCCTATGAGGAGCAGCTACAGGTAATGGGGTGACTAATTTTGGAAAATTAAGGCYCAGGGGAGACCTTCTTGCTCCCTACAATTGCCTGAAAGCAGGATGTGGCAATCTGGGGGTCAATTTCCTGTCCCAGGCAACAGGTGACAGGACAAGGAGAAATAGCCTTAGGTTGCACCAAGGGGAAGTTCAGGTTGGATATCAGGAAAAATTTCTTCACTGAAGGAGTGGTTGAGCATTGGAAAGAGCTGCCCAGGGAAGTGGTGGAATCACCATCCCTGCAAGTGTTCCAAAGATGAGTAGTTGCAGCATTTAGTGCTATGGTTTCATTGATACRGTGATGTTTGGTCAAAAATTGGACTCAAGGATCTTGGAGATCTTTTCAAACATTAAAGATTTTATGCTGCTCTTGTTCTGGGGAGAAAACCCAGTCCGTTTATCAACTATAGGGTTTGTAGTATACTTTTAGTGTAGCTACAGAACAGGATTCATTGTACTTCACTCAAGTTATTTAAAAGCTGGGTCTCCAGCCAAGATTAGTATCTGCATTACCAATACAGTCAGTGCTGGGGGAAAACAAGCAACTCTGGAGAATAAGTCCCAATCTTGTAGGAAATACCTAAGCAAAAATAGTCTTCTGAAACTGCTTGTGAAGAGCTCTTTCCCTCATAAAGTACACCTACRCAGTAAAACTTTAAAGTTTGACTTTTGCATGGATAAAATTAAGTAAACAGAGTCCCAAATCCTAACTTAAAACTGTAGCTACTGGTAAGAACAGGATTAAAACCATGCAGTAACATTTGTGCTTCCTGAAAACCTGTTTCATCTGTGGCCTGAGTCTGAGCCCACACCCATATTGGCTCATGCAATGTTTAAGTAAAATGATTAACAAATTATTTCTACTATTCACCTGGAATCATGCATCAGCAATTGCACCTACAAGCTTTCACCATGACAGGAGAACAAAATTCTGCAAGAAAACAATCTGCAGCTCTAAGGTCAGAGGTATTAGGAAAGTGAGCAAAAGATTTGAAAAGAGGTTTTGGTACAATTAATCTATATGACAGAAAATTCAGTGCAAACTTAGGATCTACATAATACCAATGAAAARTAACTGATATAATTTGCTGAACATTGGGCCAAAGTTTGAGTTAATGCATGTCTAAATCTCTCCAGATCAGCATTTAAATTAAAAATATCTAAATACATAGTATTTCATGTTTTGAGGATGGAGGGAAATCTTGTTATTTAACTTTCATACAGGTGTGGAGAATTTGATCTTTCTCAAAAAGAAATGTAAATACAAAGATAAGCCACTTGTTTTTTTCCAGGTGAGAAGCAGYGCTTTGGGATTGGGTGGAAATGCATTCAGTAGCATTCAGTAGTAGTTTGGAGGAGTAGTTTGGAGCTTGGATCTTCTTCAAAACCATGTAAAGTTGTATTTTCAGGGAATTCAACTATGTCAGTTCAACTGGTAATGGGTGAAAAGCAGAATTTAAAAAAAAAGGAAGGAGGAATGTAGAGATAGAGGCACAAATCAAGCATCAGCTATTTATTTTTCCCTTTTTTTTCTGGCAATCTTTGAAAAAAAACCTTTGCTTTCCCTAGAAAACAAAAGGATAAAGAGATTCCATAGCAATTCTAGCAAGTGGAGTGCATGTCATTACTTACTCATTCAAATGCTGAAATCTTTCTTGCCAGTTAGCAGCTCGTGCTACATTTCCAGTTTTATCAATTAGTTTTATTCCAAAAAACTCCAACATCATTTTGTAAGCCAAAAGGAATCTTCTAATTGCTTCTTTTGTTTTCTTGAATTCCTAATAAATAAAGAATACATCCAAAATTATAAGTGGCACTAAACCAAGTACTTCGGCATCGTATAAGACAAGTCTACATAACAAAAAGCAGTTCTGTATCAAAATAAATGTAATGTTTTATATTGAACTCAATTTGTATTACCTCAATTTCATATGTAGTTAATTCTTTAGCATAGAAGTTCAGCCCTTGTTCCCTCAGTGGGAAAAGCCTGTTAAAAGAAGAAGTGCAWTATGGCTCAGTACATGAAGACTTAGTCAAATTAACGCTTTGAAACAGAAATAGGTAATAAATGACCAACCACTGTATGTAAGTGTGRTTATGTTCCAGTTTCTCATAGTCTCCTTTCCATTTATTTAGGACTTCTTCAATATAAACCCCTGCATAAAAATAATTTGAAAAACAGTTAGGTAGCCAGCAAAACCAGCACTCAGCTACTTAAAGTACATGCGTTGTTAACATAATGACAGAAAAAATTAATTCTCTTTCASATAATATGTGAAATAAGGTCTACTGTAGCCATAAATAAATAAATTTAATTTAAAATTAGCTACTATAACTTGGTTAAAAAATAAGGTATTTATAAAATGTTAATATAAACAAAACCAACTGACTTATACTGGGTTGCTAACAAGGAAAGGTATGTGACAATAACCTCTGTAAAATACATCTAAGAGTTCTCATGTCATAGATCCCTTTATCATACTGACTGTTAATTAAGAAATTGCTTCCATAAAATACTGCACTGTGAATCACCTCATTGCTTTTACATGACAAAACTCTGCATCTATCTATGTCTGTCTATCTATTCACCCATCCATCCATCTATCTAATCTTTGTAGAACAAAGCCTCAACTCTTTATGAAATTTCCCACACCAGGAATCTCTCCAGCTTCAAATAACCTTATGTGGTGGCCAAGCATCACAGTGAGACTCTGCTCATGAAATTCAGTCACGAGCACTTTTCCAGGTACTACACAACTACACAAAGTACATAAAAGCATCCTTTTTGTGACAATAACGTTGTTCCCAAACTTGTACAATATCTTTCAGTGAATGAGCATGGTGTTTGTTTCTATTCTGAAACCAACAACAGTTTTAGTACTGCTGCACAGCCTCTCCCAAAGTCAGAYAGYGTAAGAGCAGCCTAAAAAACCCAAWCYCCCATATAGATAGTCTCCTACTATCCATTAAAGATGCCTCTTCCCCCAGTGAAAATTTTCATTTGGRTCTCAATGGCAAAGGAGGACACATTTAATACTTTTATTTAAGAAATGAAGACCCAGATACATAGACTTGGGTCAAGGTGGTGGTTACTCTTTTCTGTTCTCACTACAAACTTCTGCATAACCAGAGCTCACAGCCAACTACACTTCAGTCTCCATGGCTTATCAGTTACTTTTTACATTACTAACTGTGGTTTTCTCCTAGGATACTATGAGAAATACTATTCTTTACAAATTTTTGGAGGGAAGCACTCCTCTAGCTTTCACGATTGTCTCTTCTTGTAGCTAATCCTCTTGAACTGCTCCTTCATTTTGAACTTTAAAGGACTTCTTTCCAACAACCTTTTCTGTCTTGTAGTTTCAGATCCATATGGTCCCCAGGTTCACACAGACCTCGGTGCCCTTCTCTTTTTTTTTTGCATCTGTTCTCTGTGTAATGTCTCCCAAATCTGCCACTCCTTTACTGGCAACTCACAAACCTATCTCTTCTTGCAGTCAAGCCAAAACACAGCATCTGCCTGTGRATATCTGGATAAAGCTCAAGTTGGTTAAAGAAAAGGTCTTATCTTTCTTTCACAACCTGAGTTATTTTCTCACTTGATAAGTGTATTACCACTATCTTGTGGTATCTTCCAACTTTCCTGTAGGTACATCTTCACGTTCTTCTGTATAAAATTCCTTTCCATCCAGCTTTCTATCAGAACTCTCACATTTTGCAYTCCAACATCCTTTTTCTTGACCTTGAAAAGCACTTTCTTGTCTTGCTTCCATCCACCCTGAATGCTCCTGAATGCAGCTGCCCTGAATGCTACCTTGAGTGCTGGTAAGATCATGTTTCTGGATTTTTTTTTATAGTGCCCTTTTTTTTACATTGCATTCTTCCATTGTGAAGCCCTGTTCTGTAAAATCAAACAAAAACTGTACACTTTCACTTCCAAAGCCTTTGTGACCTGTCCCTTACTTATCAGAACCCATTTGTTGCTATGAGACTGATCCTGCTTCCAMCAGGATCCTGCCTCAGAGGCAGCCTACACACCTCACTTCACTATTTCCTACCAAGCTGCTCTCATGCTAAGAGGATCTTTTTGCAAACATCTTCAAAGTAACCTTCTCACCATTCTTTAAAAAAGCTGAAAAGCTTTTTTTTGGCCTTCAATTTGTCTTTTTTGCTAATGGCTAAGCTCTCACGTGCTGAGACTCCTGTCTATCATCCTAACCCAGACTGCTTTATTGCCTCCTCCTGTTTCCCCATCTGTCTGCTACCTTCTTGTCTCTCATACATTGACTGCAAACTCCCGAGAGTAGAGCCTGTCATCTTTCAGCTTGTCCTGTGTTTGTGCAGAATGCTGGCTCTTGCTCCACTACCAGAATCATAGGGACATTGAGAAAGGGCTTTATTATTGTTATTACAATAATCTCATACAAGATTAAACCACATTTTTTCCCCTTGCACAGTTCTAGGGATAACACCCATAGATCCCTGCCACTCCTATTCAAGCAGCAACAGTTTGTGTAGTATAGTAGAACAACTTTAACTTTGTTTAATAAAAGATACTGCCACTGCCTTAAAATAGAAGTACAAACAATGTCCTATACTACTTCATGTTGATAATGTCTAAGAAAAGCACAACCTCCCTAGAGCAAAAGCTAACTCTGTTTTGAGCATAACCTGCTCTTGTGTCATCAATGTGCTACTCCAGCATGGGAGGTTCATGTTGTACAATACATTACTATACACTTTCAATTTACCACAATTATCACCACTGTATCAATTTGCTACTCTCATTATCGAGCATTCTTTTGTTATCACCATTGTTGTCTCAGATTACTCACCATCAGGTTTGAACGGGATTTTATTTTTGTAAAACCGGAGATTGCACAAGTCATTTTGATACCGAAGATCTTTAAAGTTCTGCTAAAAGAAARGAAACAAGACATTATCAGCCTACAAAAACCTATCAAGACTATCCAGAAAAGTGATATTGGTTTGAATAATTTAAGGAGAAAAAAAATGTCAGAGTTTTAGGAACTACAGAGCTCTACTCATGCACTTAAAGACTGAGTTTAAAGATCTGGAAGTTCTTTCTGGCTGCTACCTTCTGCTGCTGAGGCAGCAGCAAGCATAGCAGCACCCTCACTTYGGCCTCAAGGAACTTGACAGACAAACAATCAGTCATCCAAACTCTATAATCTACCCTCTTTGATATTCAAGGCACAAACCTTTTCCTGGGCTCCCACCACAGTTCCCAGGCTTACACATCTGATGTGTTTGCATGCCCAGGATGAAAAGACATTGYTTCTCTCCCAGTAGCCTACTTTGGGCCTCTGGATCAGCTTTTTGATTCTCATTTCTTGTACTTATTGGACAACACAAAGGTTTAAGAATGTTTTCTACCAAAAAGGAAATTTTAAACCATAAGGCGTTCTTACTGGATACTGATGTCGGTACTTGTATAAATCTCTTGCTGCGTAGAAGCTTCTCTTTGGCTTGGCTGTCAGCTCAGTTCCATCACCACTCTGAAACAGTGAGAAAGCAGATAACCKCACACAAACATCCTAAATAGAGAATTTCTGTAATATTAAAGTAATTGCTTTTCATTATGGATTTCAGTAATGTAAACAAACATGAGTGCATGTATTTGCCTACTCTTTGTCAAACACTGAAAATTTCCTCCCTCAATACTTAACACAACACACTTTAAACGTAAGTAAAAAAATRTAATATAAAATACAAAAGCAAGACTAGGAATTATCCTTCCAATGTGGCTGAATTTGATTTAAATCAACAGGCTGATTGTCATTCCAAATGCAAGACTTCAAAGTAATCTGGCAAGTGCTAGTGCAAGATGAAATAAGTAACTGAACTTGAAAATGCAGAGACACCACTATTTTAAGGAGAAAATCATACTGTTTGCAAAATAAAAAGTCAATCCCTATGTGTCCATAGACTTAATTACTAYTATTGCACCCTGTGGAAGAAAATTAATAGTCAATCAAAAAAATTCATTCTACTCCTTGCAATACGCATTCAGTAAGTTAAAGTCAGGCCTAAAAGGGGAAGTTCTTCATGACTGAACTGGACATTTGCCATTCTTAATGCCCAACCCATGTCTTATCAATTGCACAATGACAAACAAGCAACTATTTTCATTCCTCCTTTCATAAGGCCAACTCTGGCCATACCTGCAGGCAAAACACGCCTGCTTGAACAAGAAACACCCCTCGACACTTGGTTATCCGGCACTAGTATCACCATGTGTCAAGCAGAAAAAGGAAACACGCTTATGCTTATTTAATTCTGCATGGTCTGTGAACCAAAACACAACACATCTAGCAAGCTAAAAAAATGACCCAGCTGGTCCACCCTACACTGTACTGTAACTCAAGTAAAATTATTGTCAGAGGAACACTTTATTTTCTTAAGGTCGGCATTTACAAAGATTCCTAAAGAACAAAAACTCGCTATGAAAATTCCTCACACCCACCGAGTACTCACAAATCCATTGCTACATACGATCCCATATTCAGATTTTTATCCCRTTCAATTAAGAGGCCACGTTCAATGCTCCATTTCATTTAAAACACAGCCTTCCCTGCAAATAGTGGCTGCGGGAATGTCAGCGACACCAAGGCCTCGACTGTCTCCCAGTAATGACAGGGGAGGGGTGGGGAGAGATAAAAACGGGCTGGTCCCTACTGGAGATGCAGCGCTGGCTGTCCCCAGCCGCTCCGAGCGCTGGGCAGGTGCCGCCGGCAGCAGCCCGGGCCCGCGAGTGCCGCAGAGCGGCGGCAGTGGAGCTGCCCGGAGCGGGGCTCGGGGCTGCCCGGAACGGGGCTCGGCTCCGCCCGTCCCCGGCTCGGCCGCGGGGCCGCGGGCAGGGCAGGGCAGGGCAGGGCGAGGCGGGGCCGCTCCCGGCGCTGGCGGTACCTGCTCGGGGCCGGCGGTGTCCGCCTCTGCCCGCTCCGCGTCCTCCGGCGCTGGCGGGGCCGGCGGCGGCTCCCGGGGCCGGCAGTCGGCGGCGGGCGGCTCGGCCGGCTCTTCCCCGCCTCCCGCGGCGGCGCACACCCCCTCCTGCCGCGGCTCCKCCGCCTCGGGCTCCGAGTCGGTCTCCCAGGTGGAGTCGCAGTCCTCCACCGTGGTGGGCTCCTTGAAGCTGACCCCGCTCAGCAGGCTGCCCATCGGCCCGGAGGCCGCGGAGGCCGAGGGCTCGGAGCGGCCGCGGGCTGCCTACGGCTGCGGCATGGCGGGGCGGGGCGGCGGCGGCCGGGGCTGCTCCCCCGCCCGGCCCCAGCCCACGGACACGCGCGGGGCGGAGCTGGAGCCGCCGAGATTTCCACAAGAAACACGCGCGCCCAGCCCTGGCGGCGGGCACCGGGCAGTGCCTGGCCGCTGGCACCGCGGGGACGGGCGGGGCGACCCGGGCCACTCGCCCGCCGCCACCCGGCACCGAGAGCCGTGCTCCAAGGGAGAGGGGGAGGCTCCCGCCCAGGGGTGCGCCCCGCGGGGATGTCGCTGCCCGGAGGGGACCGCGCTGKCCCCTGGAGGGTTAGGAGAAAAGCGAGTGGGTGCGGGTGTTCATCGGGAAGAGTGGGGATGGTGGCTGCTCCAGAGCAGTGGAGGAGATGCTTTGTTCAGTGACAGAAGCGGCCGTGTCACCTGCACCGTGCAAGCTCCGGCTGTCCACTAGACGTGGGGATGGTTGCGGTGAGGGGGACCGCAATGTGTATACGGGTACAGAGAAGACAGGAATGGAGRGGGTAATGCTGTGATAACCAGCCACTTTCAGCTGCTCCTAAAACTCCTGCGAGTTTGGGAATAAAACTGACATAATGTTCGAGGACAGACTTGGAAGTTCAGTGACTGTATTTTGGTTTTGGCTAGCACATGCCCTTTGGACAGAAACACTGCCAGGAGCGAAGAACTGATGGGTTGAAGGCTTAACACATTGTTCCAGTGCCTATTCTCACGCTCATGACTAAAAATGTGTTCTGCATTTCTAACCTGGGTTGGTAGGCTTCAGTTCACTCTCAAGGATTTCTGCCCTCTCTTAATGACCATTCTGTGGTGTCTGKTGACTGTTCCTAATGATGTGTATTATCAAATCATCTCTGTCCTCTCCTTGGTAAACCAAACAGGTTGAGCTTCTTAAGCCTCTCGCCATAAATTACCTTTCACATTCCCTCACTCATTTTTGTGCCTTTTTTTCCCTGCTGTTGCTTGAATGTTTTAGCATCCTCTCCAAGTGCAGGTAYCAGCATTTTAAGTGGATGTCAGGATCATCAATATAAAGGTGATTTCATCTATATATTCTTGATTCCTTGTCCACTCTATAAACTGAAAGATGATTTTAACTCAAATTGCCACAGTGTCATGCTTAGATGCACTCATGTCACTCTCATACATAACCTTCCTGCAGGTTCATTTGAAGTGTGTTAGCTGCACACACTGAAACCAAGGACAAGAAATTACAGGGAATGCCCTGGGTTGTCAGGCCTTRTTTCAGGCAAGTTTATTTGCAGTAGCAGCTCACCTAGATGGAGTCACAGCTGTGTGCTGAGCTGTGAACCTGTCATRCAGCTCAGTCTGCCTCTGCTGCCCATGTTCCTGCTGCCTCCCACCRTCACCTGCCTTGGCCAAGACATTCTCCTCCTCCTCCTCCTCTGCTCATCGTGGAGATTAATGAATCCCATTCATCCTTTCCARTATCCTTTAGTCACCATTATGCCAGCTGCTTCCCTCTTCAGGATCCAGYTACCATTCCCACTCAGTCCAAGACCAAAGCTGGTGACCCAAGCCAAGACACCCCTCCCACCCCCAGCCCTGTAGATTTTTGAGGTCTAATGGAACTTTTTTGATATGTGATATTAAGGAATGCATGTAGCATACAGGAAAGCTCAGTCTCATTCTTGCCAGTGGACATAATTTTAATGAAGAATAAAAAATTCCCATCATGCAGGCACAAGAAAGGTTATAAGAGGGCAAGCAGTAAGACTAGATGCTAGAGCTGCAGCTGGGGGAGCGGTGTCTTTTATAACACTCATGCTTATGTATCTCATTTTTGGAGAGTTCCCTCTTCTTTGACCTTATTTGGAGGAAAGGCAGATTTCTTTCCTGCTTCCACAGTATCTCCTCCCATGCTGTTGGCATAGTTTGAAGGAACTGACTTAAGAAATTCTGGTATCTGGAACACATTTTTCTTGTCTACCTGCTGACCAGCTACTTCCATTGTCCAGCATTTACTGGTCCAGTACAGACCACCTCTGATTCCTCTCCCCTGCTACAGCTTTTGTCAATGTTCCCTCATGCTGATTGTGTTTATACTATGGGCAGTGGAGCCTTGAAAGCATGCATTGTATAAGCATCAAAAATCAGATTAAGGTTTTGATGATATTCAATTTGCATGGCAGTGAATCCCACAAACTAAAGCTCTTCYTGCAAGAAAGCTCAATTTTTTTGTGCAAGTAACTGCACATTATTATAGAAAGCTCAGTTTTACCTGAAGAGCAAGGCTGTCAGCCAAGTCTCAAAGCTGTAGGCCAAATCTCATCACAGAATTTTAGATGAATTTTTAAAAGATCTGGATCTCAGAGCACTGATAAGAACTCGGAGTCAAACTGGTGGGAGAGCTCTCTAAGCCACTCCCCATCATTTATCATCAGTTCTGGTTAATCGGGGAGGTCCCAGATGACTGGAGGTTAATCAATATGATGCCCACTTACAAAAAGAGTAGAAGAAGGAACCTGGGAACTACAGGCCTGTCAGCTTGGCCCTGGTGCCAGGGAAGGTTATGGAGCAGATATACTTGAGTGCTGTCATAAAGCACATACAAGACAAGATCCAGGGGATTAGACCTAGCCAGTCTGGGTTTAGGGAAGTCAGGTCCTCCTTGACCAACCTGATCTCCTYTAATGATCAGGTGMCTCRCCTAGTGGGTGAGGGCTCTGGGTGTTGTCTGCCTCAATACTGTCTCCCACAGCATCCTCCTGGAGGAGCTGTCAGCCCATGGTCTGGACAGGTGCACTCTTCRCTGSGTTAAGATCTGTCTGGATGGCCAGACCCAGAGAGTGGTGCTGAATAGAGTCACACTGAACTGTCAGACAGCCATCACTGGGGTTTCCCAGGGCTCAATATTGGGCCAGCTCTCTTTAATGTCTTTATTGATGATCTGGGCAAGGGGATCAAGTGTAACCTCAGTAAATTCACAGATGACACCAAGCTGGRTGACAGCCTGCAGAGATCTGGACAGGCTGGATCCATGGGCCAAGGCCAATTGTGTGAGGTTCAAMAAGGCCAAGTGCTGGATCCTGYCCTTGGGTCACMASAACCCCAGGCAGTGCCACAGGCTGGGGACAGAGTGCCTGGAAAGCTGCCTGATGGAAAAGGACCTGGGAGTGCTGAGTGACAGGGGCTGAACATGAGCCAGGTGTGCCCAGGTGGCCAAGAAGGCCAATGGCATCCTGRCCTGTGTCAGCAAYAGTGTGGCCAGCAGGARCAGGGCAGGGATTGGCTCTGGTGA